GCTAAAACCAATCCAGCTCCACCATTTAGAGTCAGTCACCAGAGGAATCCCATGTGGCTTATGGCTTTGTCCTACAACAACCTGCTTTTGGTACTGCTTTCCTGTTGTTTCAGTCATGGGTAAAATAGGTTGTTTAATTGCTGCCTCTGCCTAGGGTCTGCGAAAGCCAGTCAGTGCAGTCCTCCACTTAGACAGATCAGTGACTATGCCGTGCAGGGATCAGCCTGTACTGCCTGCAGCTTAACAAGGGGATGAGAAGGAAAACTTTCCAGCTCACAATTCACTATTTATTATAAGAACCAGCTATGATAAAGTTTGCCTTTCCTTCATGTTCTCTGAAGGAATCCATGCTTCCCTACCTTTGTGACAAAATTCATATTAAATATTTAAATATACTTCCCAATTTGCTTCAGAAACAAAGCGTATAGAACCTAAACAGATTTTGTCTCTTTGTCTCAAATTTGTTGTCCTACTTGTTTGCAGCAAATTCCAGTGCAGAAAAGCCTGCCTGGAAAGGTCCTTAAAAAACCATCTGTTTCATTCCCCTGCTCTGCAGCAGTATGAAATACAGCTACTGTTAAATATTAATCTCATTAACCTCCAGTGAATGTCGTGTTGCTTCAGTGCCCTCAAAGTTTTCCAGAGTATCCAATATAAACCTTCCCTGAAGGAGCCGAACTGAGCACGTGCCCTACCCTTCTATGAGAAAATCGTAGCTGTGTTGTTCTTCTCCTTTCTGGGTTAAAAAAAAAAAAAAAAGGAAATCCAGTCCCGTGTTTGTTAGAGGCTGTACTTCCCGTTTGAGTTGGGATCCTCCCGCGTGCATCTTTGCTAGTGCAGCACACCCAGATGCCGTCGCTGTGCTTCACCGGTGCCGGCAGCTGAGCAGTGGAGAGAGTTACCCTGGGTGCTTCAGAGGCCGTGCTATGATAAAGATAAATTGCACACCACGATTTTTCTTCTTCTTCTTTTTTTTTTTTTTCTGCTCTCCTCCCCTCCTCCCCTGGCAAACCATCTGGTTTCCCTCGAAACTTCCCCGTCCCTTTTGGCGTGGTGGCCGCTGCCCACTCCTGCGGTCCGCGCGCCTGCGCTTGAGCTCCTTCACGCGCGGCAGCGTTTTGCTCCCGTGTCGGCTTGGTTTTGGTACGGTGATTCCTAGCTGCTCGTCGCGGTCTTTGAGCTCCAGCAGAAGTGCTGGTGCCTCCACCTCGGCGTGGCGTCGGTTGCCCACCCTTGAGCCGTTCCTGCTCCTGGTTGGCCTCAGGAGCGCAAATTTTGGAGAAACCGATGCAGGGCAGAAACCTGTGGGCTCCCCCTACAGCATCTTACCAGTTCGACAACACACCGCTGATAACC